CTGAATTGTGTCCAGAACAACTCTGTATAGTAGCATGAAACAAGTAGAAGCTCTGCTGTTTCAATATCACCTTTACAAAAAACATTTATTCTCTCAACGCTAAATCTTGATCTTTAAAACTGACTTGTGATATTTGAGATGCATCAGTACCAGTGGTTTAGGAAGTGGTTAAAAAAGTAAAAGTCCTGCACTGAAAATGTTACTGATTATGTAAATGCATCAGAGATACTTTCACAATACTCAGAGTATCAATACTTAAAGTAAAATAAAGAAAATTAAAATGACTGTTACATGGGTAAAGTGTGGCCATGGAGGGTTTTGTACCATCACCATTGGAGAGTGCTGAACTGTGGGTGTACATAACTTCACTGTTCATTACAGAAAACATTTAAAATAGTGAGTTGAGAGGTGTACAGGTGTTACTAATAAAAACTATATATATCACACATGGCTCAAAATGTCCATCCTCTTATATTAGACCTTTTCTCATACAAGTTGGACAGAATTCAGTGATGTAAAAACACTCATGTATACAAATGTGTGAGGGAACGAAGAAGTAAAAAACAGTCTGGTCATCATGAAAAACAAAACACACCACGATGTGTACTGTGTTTGACAGCACACAGAAAGTGTTGATACAACAGCATGTCTGAACCACAGTGACCCTGCAGCCACAGAACAAGCCACAGTCCACCAGCTCAACAACACAAAGTGAAGCTGTGTAGTAGAGGGTGGAGCTGTCAGAGTTCAGACACAACTTCAAAAATAATGTTTCAGTCAATAGATACCAACAGAAGATTGGTTGATTGTATTTCACATAATCTGACCTCATAACACAGACTAGATTAAAGATTAACAGATTAATTTGAATACTCTGCAAAATAGAAGCTGAAAACAGTGTTGCATTTAATATGACAGCAGTGTATAAGCTTTGACTCAGCACCCCCAACTCTGACTGACGTCCAGCGTCCCGGTGTGTAACCCTCTACTCTGATGCCATGATACTGAAGGCATTGGTTTACACTGCTGTTGTAGTAATACCCTCCACCAAACTAATAATCTGCTCTGTGTTAGGCCTGAGCACGACACCTGGTGGTGGCTCTGTATGTTTTATTCCCTCTTAAAATAATGTTGTCTTTAAAATAAAATGAGGGGAGCTGCTCCTGAATATCAATCTAGCCTGGTAATAATTATTCTGCCTCCATAGCACTGAGGTAACATTTATGGGACATGCCCCAAGTTACCAATAAAAAAAAACACTCAAACTGAAACAGGTTAATCCTCTGTTTCCACTGATTCTTCTGCAGGTATATAATTGATCAATATTGAGATTATAGCATCGTGTAACCAATTAAGACCAAACTTTTCTAAAAATATGAGCACTTGAAAAAACATGTGTGAGGAGAAGCTAATGAGACAAAACAATTCTTTAAGAAAAAATGACTTAGGTGGACTTTGACTTTTTAGTTTGGCCCATGTCCCATTCATTAGCCTGGGGAAGGAGGGATTAATGATCTATACTGCAGACAGCCACCAGGCGGCGATTGAGACGCTTTGGCTTCTTTTGAGACAAGTGGAAAATCTAAACTTTCGAGAAGGTGTAATGTGAAGCAATGACCACTAGATGACAGCAGTGGACTTTGCATCACATTTCTATTTATGGCTCCTGTTCTTGTACATTATGATCCAACAGAAACACAACCACCCATCAACAGTAATATCACATTCATGTTTAATGACATCTTATCAAAATGAATGAATTAACAGGTGAATGAGTAGAACATATGCAGGAGATTGGTCAAAAATGAAAACATAGTAAAGATTAGTTATCAGATCAAATCAGTGAAAGATGCTGATGATCACCTTTGTGTTACATTGTTCCTCAAAGTGAACACAGGCAGTGACAGCTGTCAGTCGCAGCTGTGATGAAACCTCTCATCGGAGGTGAAGTGGTGACTCTGGACTGATTCACAGCTCGAGGACACCGATGATGTAAAACACGTGTTTACAACATTCATGGTTAAACTGTGACCCAGCCTGTGTTTGTGTTACTGTTAGAGCAGTCAGATGTGTATCAGCTCCTTCAAAACCTCTGTCCTGTGTATCGTCGACGGAGGCTGTACATTATTTGTAGGGCCTGTGTTCAAGATATGACTCAGCTACCTCCCATAAATATATTATAGGACTGTAGGTCTTTCAGGTTCAAGGCTTTCAACACACACACACACACACACACACAAACACACACCCAACCCCCCTCCTCTGTCATCAGAGCACTTCTCATCTGTATTCTCCCAGCGGTGCAGGATTAAATCGTGTCCACGGCACAGACAGCACAGGGGGACAGCCTCCCATTCTTCAGATTTCTGGGGCCCACCTTTCAGAACAACTGGAATCTTTATTCAATTATGTCTACGGCAGCTAATCCTGTCACTGGTGTGTTATCCCTCCACACAACTTCAAATTCTTAACGCTGAGTAAGTCAGACAGGGGTGAATGTTGTGCTGGTGTTTCTATTAATTATCTACAAGGTCAGGGAAAAGTTTTCAGAGCAATAAAACAAAGGGAGTGAAGAGGTGCTGGCAGATAAAAATGAAACACTAATATTTGTCTTGTGTGAGAGTGTAGAACATTTCCAAATGCTAAAATAATACATAATAAGCCTTGACATAGTAAAAATGTCTAAGATGATTAATTTAGTGTCGACATAGCTTTTACATTAATAAACTATTCCCATTCCCAACTTCATTATTTATTCATTTGTTTGTTGTTTTGTTTAGTGTGGCGTTTTCTTGGTGACACGTTCAGTCCACCTGTCTTTGCTCATGTTTCTCCCACTGTGTAAAGACAAATGAACTCTGACCTTCTAATGTGTGTCTCAGCCTCCTGCTCGTTTCATTTTAGTGCAGACTTCAAGCCAAGGTGAACGAGTGTGAATAGAAAAACACAGATGAAAGCAACTGGAACAATATTTCCTGGGTTCACATCTGCAAGATATGACTCTTATTAGATTAAAATCATTCGAACAAGTCCAGAGAGTTTTGCATTTTTCACTTCCCTCCCTCACAGTTTATTGATCATGTTGATATTATTCATCTTGTTTATGATCCTATATTAAACTTGTGTTTATTGATTTTGGGGGGGCAGTGCAATGAATAAACTGAACACTTACACACTGCCACTTTTCTAAATTTATTAAAACTAATGTCTCAGCAAACAGTTGCCTTCAGCAGACACAGAGAAACATAAGAGTTTTGAGTCATTTGTGTATTTGTCCACCTGATCAATGCAAGTTCGGTATTTTAGCTCTGTATTTGGTCTCCACCAACTCCTGAGGGACATAGCTGAATCACCAGCTCGTGGCTAATGATGCCTGACTACCATGTGGTGCCAGTTTCTGGTTCTTTTTCTTTTCTAAACTGGTAGCGACTGCCTGCTGCATAAGGAAACAACACTTTTCAAACATCAGAAAGTGAAACAAATAGGATTTAGTCCACAAAACCAAAAAAGTGATCTGAAAGATCCTGCAATGCTCCTCAAAGCTTGAGAGAGTGACCCTGAACATAAAGGTGAACAGATACAAAAGACATGGTGACTCAGGCAGTGTGGCACGACACCTTCACACATTAAGCCCCAGCAACACTGCCTAAAACAGAAACTCACCACAGACATACTTTGGCGCTACCGGGAACAAAACTGTGGTTTGCTAAATACGTCAAGCGACTGTGACATTAAACACCTCCTGTGTGGTTACAGCAGTTTGAAGGACATGAGTGCAGCGATCATGTTGTGTTGGACGGTTACCTGCTCCTGTTTGTTTCCACCAAACTTTCTTTACACAAACACACAAGTGGTTCATGTCGGGATCAGCTTCCAAGAAGAAACACAATGGTAACAACAACAAACACAGACTCATCAGCAACAACAGAGGGGCATCCATTTTTTCCCATGAGCTTCGTGACCAGACTTCCTCAGCAACCACGATGAAGATTGTTTCAATGAGTCTCATGTCTTTATCCTTAACACTGTGTTTATATAAGAATAGAAGTTCTGCCTTCAAAAATGGTTTAGAATCAGACAAGTGATCTCAGCCCTCCATATTTACCTGCTGCATCCAGCTGAATAAAACTACTGCAATAAGCATCAGTCAGACAGGATCATCGATTTGGTGTAAAACAGAGACTGTAAATAAATAAAATAAAGATGGACAACATGACAACTCCCCAAAAGTGAAGCCAAAGTTATTGTGATCACCACCTGGTGGCTGGTTGCCATATTGGCCACAAATCCGCATTTTGATGCGATTAAAACAGCAGGAACTCAGCTCCAAAGACTCTATTTTAGCTTCTTGACTGGATTGTGAGGGGAAGGAGACACAACGTCCATCTTAATATACAGCCAATTGGTGTAAAATCAATAAAACAAATTCCTGAGCCATAACAACAAACACTTAAATTTGCACCTTGTATT